GTGCCTGTCGAGTGCATCGATGCCGCTGTACGTGCTGTCGTCGGAGCGCCACTGGTCGCCCTCGAGCGGGTGAGGCGATGGGATGGTCCACCCCGTTGCCTCCTGAACTCCCCATCCTCCTTCAAGCAGGTGAATGACCACTCGAGCTGGAAAGGACATATTGAGATTATAGCCCGCGAGACACGGCCACTCGATAGGGCCGTAGAACAACTGGATGCCCATCAAACTATCTGCACAATGTACCTTCAACTGATGCGATACTTCCTCCTGTACCACGCGTGTGAATGCTTCTCTCAAACTGGCATTGCCACGTATGGCCGCCTCCCATTCCTGCTCGGTGGACGTGGACCATGCGCGTACAAGCCACGCGCGAGCACACTTGCTCAGCGAGGCTTGGTGCGCCGACTACGACAGACGGGTCCTGGAGCACCTGGAGGGCGTGCTGGGGCAGCCCCTGACCGCAGCGGCGCGCGAGCAGGCTTGCCTGCCCCTGGCAGACGGAGGGCTGGGCATGCACAGCCTCGGAGAGCGCCGCCTGCCTGCCGCGGCCTGCCCCCAGACCTGGACGACGGTGGCGGCGGCGGGGCGCTCGGCGGGCGCTGGGGCCGAGGACTGGCTGGGCGCAGCAGCAGAGCGCGAGGAGAAAGGGCAACGGCGCCTCTCAAGGCTCGCGCAGGAAAGGCGCCGCGCCCACTTGCTCGCCTCCCTGCCGCCAACCGAGCAGGCGAGCCTCCGCTCGGCCAGCGGGAAGGGCGCCGGGAGCTGGCTGCTTCCGCCCACAGAGCCAGACCACGTCCTCGCGGACGAGCACTTCCGCCCGACACTGGCCCTGCGGCTCCGCTTGCCCCTGCCGCCGGGCGCCAGCGCAACCTGCCTCCGGCGCCGCCCTGACGGCTCCTGCTGCGGGGCCGACCTGCGCGCGGACCCTGGGCATCCTCTGGGCTGCCCAGTCGGAGGCGGCACTGTGCTGAAGCACGACGGCGTCCGCGACTGGCTCGCGCGCTGGCTTGCGACGCGGGGCGCCGCGGGCGCGCGGACGGAGCAATTCGCCCCAGCCTGGGACAGACTGCGCCCTGACGGCACTCTGGAGGCCGCGCGGCTGGACGTGGCCTTCACCGACGCTGTCGCGGGGGTCACCTACGCCGACGTGGTGATCACCGACGCGTCTCTGGGCGCAGGCACGGCCGCGGGACGGAGCCGGGCCGCGCGCGACGGGGCTGCGGCGGCGGCGGCGGAGACGCGCAAGCACAGGCGCTACCCAGGCCCGGCCCTGGTCGCCTTTGCCTTGGAGACGCAAGGGCGAGCCGGGGAGGAGGCGCAGGCACTCCTGCGAAGCTGGGCAGCGGGCGACCCGGCGACGCTGACGGCGGCTCGCCAGAGCTTGGCCGCCGCCCTGCAGCGCGGCGACGCGGAGGCCTACCGCACGGCCGCCTTGCCTGCTGGCGCGGGGCGACGCCTTGCGGACCGCGGCGGCCCAGGGCCGCCTGGGCGCCTCGCCAGATTGGGCTGAGCTGACTGACCGCGGGAGAACGGGGCTGGCGCTGACCAGGCGCCGCGCTGGCGCGGCTGCTGGGCGCCTGGGGGCGGCGCGGCGCTGGGCTGCGAGCTGAGGGCGCCCGAGGCAACTGCGGCAGGCCAGAGGGCGGCCAGCGCTGCACTGGACTCAGCACGCGCTGCGGGGAGGCGCCGAGGGGGGCTGGACTGCCGAAGCGGCTGGCCGGGGAGCGGCCTGGGGCGCGCGCGGAAAGGGCCGACGCCGAGAGCGCGGGCGCGCGGCCGGGCGCGGGAGGCGCTGGCCCAGCGAGCACGCCTCGGCCACGCACCATTGGAGCAGGGAGGTCATCCGGCCGGCGAACGGGCCTCGGTCCGGGACCCGGCCGGGAGGTGTCGTGGAGGGGCACGCCCTTGCCGTCGCGGTCGCGCCCAAGCTCTTCAGAGGGGGCGCGGCGCGACCTGCGGGAAAGGGCGGGCCGCGCGCGCGCAGAGCGCCCCCGAGGTCCCCCCGGAAACGGGACCTCGGGGGCCCCGCAGCCGCAGGAGGAGGAGGAGGAGGGGGAAGAAGAGGAGGACGAAAAGGAGGAGGAAAAGGAGGAGGAGGAAGAGGAGGAGGAGGAGGAGGCCGATGAGGCGGAGGAGGCGGAGCAGGCGGAGGAGGCGGAAGAGGCGGAGGAGGCGGAGGAGGCGGAGGAGGCGGAGGAGGCGGAGGAGGAGGAGGAGGCGGAGGAGGAGGCGGAGGAGGAGGAGGCGGAGGAGGCGGAGGCGGATGAGGATGAGGAGGAGGAGGAGGAGGAGGAGGAGGAGGAGGAGGAGGAGGAGGAGGAGGAGGCGGAGCGCGGGGTGACGTAACAAGCTCTCAACGCCAAGGCTCCCAGTACGAACGGTGTTGTGAGTTTTTTCGGTCAAGTTCCTGAAGCGCTCTTTCCGTTTCCGTGCCGGCCCAGGTCTAATGGCCCTCAGTTTCGGCAAACATCGTCCCTTTCCGACCGGAAAACGTGTATGTTTAGCATACTTCGCTTGTTCGGTCTTCGATGTGTCCAAAAGCCTGATAGGCTCCAAGATCGCCCCATGACGGCCCAAGAGGCCCCCAGAAAAGCCCCAGGGCGGCCCAAGATTGCCCCAAGTTTCGGCAAACATCGTCCCATTCTTATGGGTATATGTACATGTTTAGCATAACTTGCTTTCTCGGTTTTCGATGCGTCCAAGACGGCCCAAGAGGCCCCCAAGATCTCCCCATGACTTCCCAGGAGGCCCCCAGAAGAGCCCCAAGACGGCCCAAGAGGGCCCCGAGATTGCCCCAATTTTCGGCAACAGTCGATGAGTTCCCAATGGGAAACGTATATATTTCGCATCATGCTGTTTTGTCGTCTTCGATGCGTCCAAGACGGCTTAAGAAGATCGCTCCATGACGGCCCAGGAGGCCCCCCAAAGAGCTCCAACGCGGCCCAAGAAGGCCACAATATTGCTTTAAGTGTCGGCAGAATCGTCCCTTTCCTATGGGACAACGTGCATGTTTAGCATACGTTGGGCTTTTTGTCTTCGATGCGTCCATGACGGCCGCCGAGGCCCCCTAAATCGCCCCTTATGGCGGCCCAGGAGGCCTCCTCGGAGGCTTCGGACAGCACTTGAAACCGTCCTGGGGCAGTCTTGAGGCCTTTTGGACGTGTGTCGGAGGCTATTTTGACCTATATACAGCTATAGTTGGCCATCTTGGACGCCATCTTGCACTCTCTAAAGTCCTCTTGGAGCCATCTTGGGCCGAAAAGGACCCTCTGACACCTCGCGGGGAAACCCGTCCAGCCGCAGGGAGGGGGGGAGAGGTGAATCTCCCGAGCAGGGAAAGGAAGGAGGTTGGAAAAGGAAACGCTCTAGACCACCTGCGCCCAGAGGGCTGGTGGGATTCGCAAATAATTCAGAGCTCATTGGAAATCAATGATGTTGGTTTCTGCGGACCCTGTTGGAGGTTTTCTTGTGGTCCGTTTGGGCCCTCTTTGAGGCATCTTGGGTCGTCTTGACGCAATATTCATTCGGCCGCCTTGGGGCCATCTCGGGCCATCTTCGAGGCCTGTTGGGCCATCTTGGTGTCTCTGGTTAGCTGCGCGGGCCGCCTTCGAAGCTCAGGATGCGGACGCATCGTTTTCAAAAGGGACCCTGGCCTCGGGAGCGCGGACCAATGGTTTTTTACGAGGGATCGTGGTCTCGCGACGAGGGGGTGCACTCGCCTGTCCACGGCTAAAGGGGGGCCTTTATTTTGCGTGCAAGAACCATGCACCAGACAGCCCCTTCTGCGCCTGAACATGCACAAGACACGGTGGCGGATCTGGTGCCTTCGCCCCCGCTGCCGTTCGCAAGAGGTGCCAGATTGAGTGCGCGTGAGGGTTCGGTTGCGCGAGGCTGCCCTCTTGCGGGCCCAAGTCAACGCAGCGGTAGATGTCGTGCCGTGCTGGGGGTCAGCACGATATGCCTCGTGCTTCCATGTTCTTTTCGTCGGCCGAGCAGTCTCAAGTACCATTTGGTCCCACTATCCGCCCGCCATCCTTATCTTGCCCTCATCTGTTTAGATCAGCAAGCCACGATCAGACTGATTGTCCCGACTCTGTTCCACCTCCTTCAGGCCGCCCGCTGAAAGTAGGCACTTCTCTGAAACCCCAGATCCCAATCCACTTTGGCGCCTTCCTACTTCAGCGATCGAAGGGTATCCTTGTGCCTTCCTTTGCTGGGGGCGGGCCGAAGCCCAGTCTACGTACTTCAACCGCCTTCCAGCTTTCTGCTTCTGCCTGCGTCTTCTGAGCGGACCGTGTGCCGCGGGAGAGGTTCGCGCTAAGGGGTGGGAGGGCAGTCGCCGCCCTGGCAGAAGGGGTGGGCGCACAGCTCGACGACGGCGGGCGGCACCATCCTGGCCGCTGGCATCCGGTGTGGCGGTCGAGCTGCCGCTCGTGGACGGCAGTTTCGCGCCGGCCCCGGCACGGGCGTTCGAGGTCTAGCACCGCCAGTGGCCCGGCACCGACCAGCATCGAAAGGCCCGCGCGATCGGAAAGCCGCGATCGTTGGAGGCTGAATGATCCGCGGAGCAGCAGAAGCCCATGCCGGCACCACCACCGACATGGCCCTGCCACACGAGGGTCTCGCCGCAGGTCGAGGGCCTGGGTGGCTCGGCCCAGAGCTCCAGGTGCTGCCGAGTGAGCAGGTGCATGCGAAGTCAGCCGCGCCGTGTCGGGATGCTGTTCGAAGCCGGGGCGGCGCAGGGCTGCATGCTCGACGCAGCATGCGACTTCACGATCACCCCGGCTTAGATCGTAGGTACGCTTACTACCCACAGGTCCTCCATTCATTCGCTTGGTTCTGTGTCATGTGCTTCGTGAAGGCTGCACGCCGCATGTGCCGTTTGTCCGCGCGTCGACTTTCCACACGTCACCTTATTCAAGTGTGTGTGTGTGTGTGTTTCATAAGCTGCAGAGTTGAGCCCGTCAATATGGGTTTCTGCCGATTCGAGGGCGCTGGGCAGGTATACCGAGAAAGCCACCATGAAGAAGACGATCAAGGCACACCAGGAGAAGGACGCGAAGGCGGGGCCCTAGCGGTGCCAGCGCTCCAGTGCTTAGAGCAGCGCAGATCGCTCGGCCCTGGTTGCTGACCAGGACTGGCACTGGAGGGGGAGGGAGGACAAGGAGTGGAAAAGTCGGGTCGGACGAAAGAGGGGGGGGCAGAAAAAACGGGGGGTACGAGATCTGCTGCATGCAGCCAGTTCAGGCCCCGCCGCCAGGCGCTTTCCTTGATGCATGGGCGCCGCTGGCGTCGGGGGGCACCAGGGAAACCAGCTGCATGAGCTGATTCGCTGACCCCTCCTTTCTGCTAAACGAGGCCATCCGAGTCCGCGCGGCACCCCGCCGCGAGCACCGAGGCGGAGCAGCGGGTCGCGGCCCGCCGCGACGGCGAGGCGAGCTGGCGCGGCGAGCGAGACAACCACGCGCGTTACCCGGGCGAGCGCCTCACCCCAATGGCACACTGGAGCTACGTAAAGAGTCCCCCTCCTTCCCTGAGGCTCCGTTGGCCCCCCTTTCAGGAGGGAGGAGCAGGAGGAGGAAGAGAGGAGGATGACAGGGAGACCCAGGAGGTTGCATATACCATCCGCAGGGGCCCGGACCGAGTCCCAGCCAGGGATGGCGGTGGTGCCACCACGCGCGTGGCCAATGCCCAGGGCCACCAGTCCCAGCTGCCGCATCCTCTCCCCTCCCTTCCCTCTTCCTTGACGACATGCTCCGTTTCCTGCCTAGCTCTCTTTCGACGAATGGACCTGCGCTCGTGTGTGCTGGGCACCTCGTCCCTGTGCTACGCTCGTCGTCTCCTTTTTCTTCTTCCTCCACCTAGTCTTCTTCGTCGTCGTCTTCGTCGTCGTCGCCGTCATCTCCCTCTTTCCCGGAATAACGCACGCCCTGCTTGTGGCTAAGGCCAAGGACGCCGATGAAGCGAAGCCGGGGGCGGTGCCGTCCTACCTCCTCGACCGCGAGAACGTGAGGACCGGTCGTGGCGGAGAGGAGCCAAGAGCAGGAGGGATAAAAAGCAGAACGGGAAGGAGGAGGAGGAAGAAGAAGAAGAGGAATAATAAGAAGAATAATAATAATGAAGAGGAGGAAGATGGGGTAATCAGAGGAGAGAGGGAAAGAGAGAGAGAGAGGAGAAGAAGGAATATGGCGATAATAATAAGATGATGAGGTGGAGGAGGAGGAGGAGGAGGAGGTGTAGGACGACGACGAAGAGAAGGATGGGGAATGGGAACAGGACGAGGAGGAGGAGGAGGAGGAGTAGGAGGAGGAGTAGCAGCAGAAGCCAAAGCAGGAGCAGCAGGAGGAGGACGACCACGAGATGTTTCGACGTTTGGGCTTATAGGTGCTTCCCAAGACCCTCTGGAGGGGTGCTTCGTACCAAAGCAACGCTGAAGCGCTAGGCTAGGAACACATGACAAACGTTGGATCGCGAAAGTCCTCGCCCTGCAATCGCAACGATGGGAACGCAGCTTTGAAACACATGTTGCTCGCAATTGTGCAAGTCTGCCGTCCCAAATTCTGAATGCACGACACCATGCCTGGTGCTGCGAGCGAAACGCTGGAAGTTCCGCGCTCACGCCGCAAAGTAGAACGCTGACATCAAAACGCTGCAGTTAGAATGCGATGAACGCATGTGAACGCAACCCAGAACCTGGAAGCAAACGCAATGCGCAACGCAGTGACAGCGCAATTTAGAGAACGAAGCGAAAACAACGCGATGCTCATCATGACGCGACGAAGCACGACGCTAAACGCGCAGTTTCGAAAGCACAGCGCAACACAAGCACGACGCTAAAGCAACATCGCAGAAAACACAGCGCCAGCATGATGCATCACTCACTGGTGGCGGTAGACCCTGAGCGGCATGACCTGCACGTGTGGACGCCCTGCGCGATCTCGACGGGAAGAGAGCACTATACTGCACAGGAGGAGAGACCACACGGGAGACCACGGGCCACGGGCCACCGATTCAGGACCCAGAGGAGCTCACGCGTGCTTTGGAAGCAATGATTTGCTTTGGGGAGCACTGCGTCGAAAAAAACACAGCCGAAGCACAGCGCTAATCTGAGCTGTCTTGTCGCTAGACACAACAATCCCTGATGTGCCTCCTCTGCCTCCTAGCCGTGGTCGCGTCCAGGCGCATGCCGTCCAGCAGGCTGAGGGGGAGGAATTCAGGGCAGCAGAGGTGGACAAAAAGGACGAGGCGATCGAAAACCCATAGCAAGACCGCAGCAAAGTTTGCGCACCGTCCCTCTTTCAAACTGCCCAGGCCTCCAGCGTATTGGAAAAGTCGAGACGGAGTTTTGCCATATTTCTCCTTGCGCGTGAAGGCAGTTATCGGGCTCCAGGACCACCAACAAAATATCCAGGACAAAAAACGTTCACCAGACAGCTGTCGAGAGGCCAAGAGACCCCGCATGGAAAAGCATCGACATCGGAGGTGTGTGTGTGTGTGTGTTGGCACTACTGGCCCACGTGCGATCGAAGCCTGCCGTCGAGGAGCAGCACTCCCGTTGCGGCTGGGGGGGAAGTCCGGGCCCGCCCATACCGTGGTTTTCACAAAAAAGCGCCCATCTCGAATGCGTGTTGAGACCGGTCCAGCTCCCCGGCCCAAACACCAAAGTTCGGGGTGGTCGACGCATGGGGAATGCGAGTCGTTTCGAACAAAACGCCCACATTTGCAAACCGCGGCTTGCTACCTTAGATGAACATTGAAATTGGGGGCGGGGGGGGCGCTCTTGCGCCATCTTCTAGTCGTTGTACCTGGGCGTTTTTTTTCGAAAACGCCGGTAGGTTTCATCCAGGGAGTCAAGAGGAAGGCAAAGGGGAGGAGGTGGTTGGGCTTGACGTTTTTGCGGGCATGAAAAGGCAAGCGGCAAGCACGTCCAAAACCCTTGGTCCTTGATCCTCTACCCTCTTCGAAGGGCAGGGAGAGGCGCACCAAAGTCCTCTCCAACATGATCAAGCAGAAGCGCAAGGAGAAGGCCGGGAAGTGGCAGGTGCCGATTCCCAAAGTGAAGGCGCCGCGCGGCTGGACACGCGAGGGCCCGGAGGAGGCAGGCATCCATGGTCAGTCATCGGTAACATGTTGTCGTCGTCAGCGAAGCGACGCCAAGTGATGGGTCGACTACGCGGACATCCGCGCATGAGCTGCACGCGTCGTGCGCAACCGCTCTCTCTCTCTCTCTACCGGGCGGCCCGCGTACGTACCACAGTGCGGGGGGGGGTGACCTGTACTCTGGGGGGGGACCTTAAATCCGCGGGGTGCCTGCAGTCCAGGCCCACCAAGGTATGGAGGGACCTGGGGTAGCGTTGTTTGACCAATGTTGAGCCAGGAGGGGTGTGGTTCAAGCTCAGGCGAGCTGAGCTTGTTTATGTTTTACGTGTGCCATTCCGGGGCGCATTGTGCTGAACCATGGCTTGCGCAGTTCTGTCGCACGAGAACCATGGATATGTGATCCAGGGGACCATGGCTGCAGGACAGGGCCGAAGACGCCCGAATATCGTTTCAAGAGGGCTTTAGAGGCCCCGAAGACTTCCTGAGAAGGCTCCACGATGCAACCCGAGAGGGCCCCAGGAGGCCAAGCTTGTTTCAGTCCCGAGGGAAGCCGTACATGTTTAGCATATTCGCATCTCGGTTCCTACCAACAGCGTCCGGAACGGCCCGATAGGCCTCCCAAATCGCCCCAACACGGCCCAAGAGATCCCCAAGACGGTCCCAGAGGCGCCCGAGACGGCCCAAGAGGGGTCCAAGTTTGGGGGCTCCAATTGACATTTCGAGCCCTCCGCTCCCAGTGGGCCCTCGGGGCCGCCAGCAGGCCCCCAAAAGGCCCCCAAAGTGCCCCCAAAGAGGCCCCAAGAGGCTCCCGAAAGGCACCCAAGAGACCCCAAGGAGCTTCAAGAGTCGCGCCACGAGGCGCCCGAGAAGCATGCCAACAGACCCCGATTTACAGGTTCGGCTGAAGGCCATAGAGAAGCAAGCCATCGGCTTGGCGACGGACCCATCCCTATGCAGTATGTGTTGCCTGGGCGCGTGCACGGGTGCGCTGTGGGGCACGGTCCGCGTGAAGGGTGTACCAAATGATTCGCATGCCTCCGCGCGAACACGCCCACTGAGGCCGCAGGTGGACCTACTCCGGGCACGACCCGTGCGAGGCATGTTCCTACATTGGAAATGGGCGGGGGACCCAATACAAAACTTCCCATGAGTGCCATAGGTGGAGCTCCTTCTGGGGCATGATTCGCTTGACGTGTGTGTGTGTGCCGTTTTACGAACCTTGTCTCTGGGCCTGTAGGTGGTGTTCCTTGTGTGCACGATCCGCGTGGCGGGGTGTGCCGCAATGGACGGGGGGGCGCAATGCGAACCCTTCCTCTGGGACCATAGGTGGAGATCCCTGTGGGCCACGATCCGTGTGAGAGGTGTGCCGAACTAGGCGGGGGGGGGGGGCGGCATGCGAACCTTGCCTCTGGGACCGTCCGTGGAATTCCCTGCGGATCACGACCCGTGTGAAAGGTGTGCTGAAATGAGCCAGGCAACGCTATGAAGCTTCCCCTTGGTGCCGCAAACACAGTGACTTGCTGGGCACGATCCGCGTCAGGGGCGTGCCACTATGCGACCCTTGTCTCTGGGGACGTGGGTGGAGATCCCTGTGGGGCGCGATCCCTTTGAGGGATCGCATTGGCAGGGGAACGCTAAGCCAAGCCTGTATCTGGTGCCGTCGGTGGAGCTCCCATGAGGGACACGATTCGCATGGCACTGTATGTCCCCCGACGCCGAACACTTTAGACTACAGCCAGAAGTTGCTAGAACTTAAGCGCGCGAAGCGCGCGAGCGTGGTTCTAGTGCGTGTGTGTATATATTTACACACTTATGTAGAAATAGCGTTTTTTGACTTGGAGCACGTCGAATGTCACCTCCCCCCCTCTCCCCCCCCCAGTGGGTGTAGGACCCCCTAGATGATATGCTGGCGTTTGTAACCGTTGCAAGGGGCCCACGGGGGCCTTGCTACCCCTCAGGCAGCCTCTCCGAGCCTGGGACCCGACGCCAGGCGAAGGGTGGTGGTAAGGGGGGCACGAGCACTGCACATTTCAATGGCATCCCACCCGCAAATGCACTTCTGATCAGCAAGCTCTACGAGGGCTCCTTCTCCGTCTACGTTCTTGCGAATACTCGAACGCTTTGTTCAGAACATGCGTGCACCCGTGAAGTCGTCGAGGACAAGGGCTTGCTAGAGCCGAAGCGCGCGCGATGCGCCCGAGTGGTTCTCGTGAAATATGTATCGAAACCGCCTCTGGCGAGGCAACGCTGTCCCTTGTGGCCGAAAAGCCCGACGCGAGTCATCTTGGGGCCTCGTGGGCTGATCTTGGGGCCTCGTTTGCCCTCTTGGCAAGCCTCGGGGCCGTCTTGGCGCAACCTGGGGCTATCTGGGGCCGCCTCCAGCCTCTCCTGGTCGTCTTGGTGGACTCGTGGGTCTGGAGCAGAAAGAAGACTTACACACTGCTCATGCCCAATTATTCGAGAGTTCTTCGATTTTCTGGGGGGCCAGGAACAATTAGAAATGAGAACAATTAGAAATGAGCACGATTAGAAATGAACGACGTGTACATTCTGGGCGCGCAGGCGATGACAGAGGACGAGATGTTCAAGATCCTGCGGACGGGCAAGCGCAAGAAAAAGGCCTGGAAGCGTATCATCAACAAGGACGCCGGCGCGTTCGTCATCCCAGCTTCGTTGTTTATCTACGTCTTTGGTCGTTGCAGCCCCTGGTGAAAGTGCGCTGGTGACGAGACAGGGCCCCAAGGGGCCCACAGCCACCGCTGATAATCTGATCTCTCTTATCGCCCCAGGCCCCCAAAGCAGAACGATTGAGGAGGGTGAGGGAGGAGGAAGGAGGAGGGAAGAGGGATGAGGATGAGGGAGGAGGAGGAGGAGGGAGGAGGAGGGAAGAGGGAAGAGGGATGGGAGGAGGGAGGAGAAGGAGGAGGCGGAGGAGGACAGATCGGGCGCGTCTCAAATAATGCTCCAAGACGGCAGACGGTGCGATTGTGGTCCCCCCAATGGCTGAGCAGTGATATTCGGGCCCCGGGCCCCAGTGCGGCACTTAGGTGCAATAGGCACATCAAGTAGGAAAGCAGCTTGCCAGCAGGTGCCCCACGGAAAGGTTCTATTCCTCGACGGCCCTGGGGACCCGCGGGGCACCCAGCGAAGCCGCATACGGATCGGAAATCTGCCCCCTCGATGTCTCGTGGCAAGACCTCGCCCTCCGCACAGAACTTCGGCTTCGCGTGTCGCGCCGCCAGTTCTGGCCCACCACGCCTCGGCGCGACACGCTGTACACGTTCCAGGTCCCCAAGCACCAGCGTCCCGAGCTTCTCCCTCGCACTCTGGCCCCGATGGCACTGGAGGCGTTGCTTCAAGACCATGTTCGCGAGGAGCTGCATCTCCTCTGCAGCTGGCAGCTGGCACAGGAGGAAGGCGCGGATGAGGCCTCGACCACGCGGCCAGGCCAGGAGACAGGGCAGGAAAGGCTGTGGCAGCAGGGGCCGCCTGGAGGAAGTCCTTGAGGCCCCGCTCCATCCTAGAGGATCCTCCCTTCCAGGAGGAGACAGGGCTTCCAGAACGGAGGAACCGGCATCCATGATTGGTCGAGCTTTCTTGCTTCGAGTGCTGCTTCTGGGCCTCCTCCTCGTCCTCGTCATCATCCTGTGCAGGCCCTGGTACGGTCGCAACGTTCGAGTTGGTCTCCTCTCTCGAGGTCGAGCCCGCAGCGGCCGCCAGGTGTTTTGCCTGTCACAGACGCGGGCGGCTCTCTGGTCTGCCCACGTCGGGCAGGGCTGGGACCAGGATAGATCCTTCCAGAGACGGGGGTCAATGCAAACGGGGGTCAGTCAGAGCGCTGGAGTTTGGCAGAGCCTGGGGCGCACTGACCCGGGTTTGGGTGCAGGATCCTGCAGGATCTTGCAGGATCTTGCGAGGCCCGACAGACCCGGGTTTGGATTGACCCGGGTCAGTAGATCCCCGATGAAATGGCAGATCTCGGAGACCTTCGATTTGGTTCCGGTCCGGTGTTGTCCGGGTCTTGGATTCGTCTTTCCCATCCACTCTCGGAGGGGGATCGCCCTCTGGAGCGGAGGTCGCCCGTCCAGTCCTGGAGGCTCTTCGGGGCCTCCAGGCATGGCCTGCCCTGGAGCTCCGCGGGGAGGCACGGAGCGTCCTGCGCTCGCCGTTCGCCGAGGAAGCGCGGATCAGCGACGGGTGCCTGCCGCGTTTCTTGGGCCCCTGATCCATGTTCGCGTGTGCCCGAGTTGGTCAAGCTTGCGTTTCGGCCTCCCAGGGGATCGACAACTTCGGCGATGGTGGTGGAGCACGGAGGTTTGACCTTCGTTTTGGATGTCAGACCGTCGATCGTTTGGGCTGGTCCCGCCGCGAGGCCCACGATGGGCGATCGAGGATCGAGGCTTTGGGGGCATTTTCATAGGGCTGGAGAGAACAGGAGTGGCTCCCCCGAGACCCCATCCAGATGATCCCCCTGCCGCATTTCGAGCCGTCCTTCAAAGTCTAGAGCCTCTTCCAGAGGCGCCCTCTAGAGGTACGCGGCGGCGACCCCAGCTTGGAGGCTCAAGGCTGAATGCTGCCAGTGCCCCGCAGTCGGTCGACGTCGGACGATCTGCGATATCGGAAGTCCGCCGTCAATGAACCACCGCACAGATCCTGGCTGGGCCCATCCTAGGCCCAGGATGGGCCCGGCCAGATTCGGTGAGGTGCAGTGCATTGTTGACGTCCTCAGAATCTTGGGTCAGTGCACGCTGGCAGAAGCATATCCCAGGAAAGTGCAGACAATCCCACAGTTGAGTCCAAATTGCATACAGGTCCGTCTCGCTGGCTTAATCATGAGGGCTGGGGGCATGGAGAGAGCGACCCGGGGCGGGGGGCAGATCTCTTTCGTGGGCGATACTTTCACGCGCAAGCCGCCCAAGTTCGAGCGCTACATCAGACCATCCGGGCTGCGCATGAAGAAGGCGCTGGTGAGGGATTTCCCGAAAAGGAAAGGACGTTGTCATTGAGGAGAAGAAGGAGGAGGAAGAAGAGGAGGAAGAAGAGGAGGAGTGGAGGAGAAGGAGAGTGAGGAAGAGTTGGAGGAGTGGAGATGGAGGAGGAAAGGAAGCGTAATTAGGAAGAGATGGAGTACGAGCAGGAGGGAGACGACGGCGACGACTAGGCGATGGGAGAGGAGGAGGAGGAGGAAGAGGAGGAGGAGGAGGAGGAGAAGCAGGAGGAGGGATGAGCCACGCTTTACATCCTGGCATTGTGCCCATTTTGAGTGCAGTATCCATTATTCCACGGTTCAGCTTCTCACGGCCTGCGTGATTCCGTATGTGCGTTGGTGACCCGGTTTGCAGTAGCCAGCCTAGAGTTGAGTGTCGTGCTTGTTAAATTTGTTCCTGTTCCGCACGACGAAGTCTGCGAGCGAGGGGGGGACATCCCGGGGAAAGGAAGAATGGGGCCCGTGCTCAAGATTGGTGGTGAGACGTCGGCCAACCAATGAGCCTTTGTGTACCGAGCTCCTGCGCACCCGCCCTCGCACTGGCGAAGACCCCCAGTTGCGAAGGATTTTCCTTGGGGCCCAGCCATTTCGTTCCTACCTCTCCCCTTCTCCCTCCATCGCCTCCTGTCCCTTTCCCCGGTCCTCCTCCTGTTCCTCCCTTCTCCTCGTTCTCCCTTCCCCTCCTGCTCCCTTCCCCTCCTCCACTTCCACCTCCTCCATTTCCAGCTTTCTTCATTCTAGCTCACTTCTTCCCGCTGCACCACCAGATGTGTCGGTAGAGCGGGCCAGGCGTTTTGCCTGAGATTATGTCCCCCCTTCTATTTATTTTTTTGACGCGTTCAAGTTCCAACAGTTGCACGGATGGAGGGTATGTCGCTTTCAACATATGGCCCTCATTGCAGCGCTGCGCTCACTCATCCTATAAGCTTCTAACTGGTACATGGATGGATTATTTTTTGTTTTTTTTTTTTTTTTTTTTTTTTTTTTTTTTTCTATTTTTTTGTTATTATCTTTTTTTTTTTTTTTTTTTTTTTTTTTTTTTTTTTTTTTTTCTCAAACGATTTTTTCTTGTTTTTTTTTTTTTTTTTTTTTTTTTTTTTTTGTTTCTTTTTTTTTTTTTTTTTTTTTTCTTTTTTTTTTTTTTTTTTTTTTTTGTTTTTTTTTTTTTTTTTTTTTTTTTTTTTTTTTTTTTTTTTTTTTGTTTTCTTTTTTTTTTTTTTTTTTTTTTTTTTTTTGCTTTTTTTTTTTTTTTTTTTTTTATTTTCTAACTCTGGTGGTGGTTGTTGGTGTTGTGTTGTGTGTGTTGGTACATGGATGGAGGGCGAATTGTTTCACGATTGTAGAATGTAATTGTCGCCTTAGCGCCGCGCATGTTCGCCTTAACAACGTCATGCGGTTCTGGGGGGGGGTCAGGCGAGTATGTCTCAACATGCGGCTCTCGCCTGAGCGCTGCGTGCAGTCGTATTCAACTGTTCTCTGCTGCAGGTATGGAGCGCGGCCATGTTTCAACATGTGACTCTCTTCTCTTGACACCACATTCCTTCGTCGTACAGGCAAGGACAGAGGGCCGTTCCTTTTCAGAACAGGGATCTCGCCTGATAGTATTCCGTGACTCATCTTGAAGGTATCAGAGTGCGAGGCAGTTTCCCCAAACAACAATGTCTTACGCCTGAATGAATGGCCCATGGGGCACTCGCCTTTCAAGGCGGCGCTTTCAGTAGGGCGGAGGAATTCTTGTAGTGCTTCAAGGGGGTGCGTATTGCAGCAGAATCGATGCATCTTGAGATTGCCCTGGTTCGCCCTCCTCCCCCTCCTCCTCCTCCTCCTTCTAATTGCCGGTGGGGAGATGTGAGAGGGGCACGTGTCGTCGATGCAGGCGGAGGCCCAGGCGAACAGGGCAGGAGGGGGGATGTGAGGAGCGGGGGAAGGGGTGGTGCCCGCGCGGAAGTTCGGCGATCGCCTGGCGGGGCACGAGGAGGGGGGAGGGCGAGGAGGAGGAGGAGGAGGAGGAGGAGGGAGGAGGAGGGAGCAGCAGCAGCAATTCTGTACCACTCAGGCCTCGCGAGATACCCACGGTATTTACTGCAATTTCGTGGCCAGGGCCTTGAATGAGTCCAGATCCGCTGTTGTAGCCATCATAGGTGCTCCACTTGGAAAGCAAATTACCTAGCACCTTAGGAGGAGGGAAGGAGGAGGAGGAGGAGGAGGAGGAGGAGAGGCGGAGCGGAAGGCGGAGGCGGAAGGCGGAGGAGGAGGAGGAGGAGGAGGAGGAGGAGGAGGAGAGGAGGGGGAGGGAGGGGAGGAGTGGGAGGAGGAGGAGGAGGAGGAGGAGGAGGAGGAGGAGGAGGAGGAGGAGGAGGAGGAGGAGCAGCACTTCTCAATACCCACTCAGCCTCGAGAGAGAACCACGAGTCCAGCTCCCGCTGCTATAGCCTTCATAGGTGCTCCACTCGAGAAGGAAATAAGCTGCTCTTCTTAGGAGGAGAAGGAGGAGGAAGAGGAGGAGGAGGAAGAGGAGGAGAAGGAGGAGGAGGAGGAGGAGGAGGAGGAGGGGCGGAGGAGGAGAAGGAGAAGAAGAAGATGAAGAATGATGAGGAGGAAACGGAGGAGGAAGGCTTAGGTGTTTGCAAGAGGCCTCCAGATGCTGTTGGACAGACCTCCAGCGACTTTGTCCAGACCTCCGCGACGTGGATGGGTCTCCCTACAGATCCACGCTACGAAAGCATCGTGGCAGCTGGCGTCTCCTTCATCTTGGCTTCTGGAGGCATACCAGGCCCCAGGGGCCGTCAAACAACGGCCCAGGATGAAAAATTGACCTCAGGGGCAGTTGTGCGATTCATCTTCTCCCTCTCCTCCATCTCTTTGCCTCATGGTCTACTCCCCTGCGCACGCTTGTGCAGGCGCACGTGACCCATCCAGAGCTGAAGATGACATTCTTTCTGGACATAGTGAGCGTCAAGCGGCCCCGCCGGTGGCATTCGCGGGCACTGTGCCCCTATCGCCCCGCGCGCGACGGGCATTTGAACCTCCCTCATATTCTGACGTCGCGAAAATAATCCCGACGGCAAGTTGTTCATAGTTCTCGGTGTCCAGAGGCCGTTTTCATGCCCAGGGACCGCCAAACGCTTCTCATGATGAGATGCACCAGACGTTGGGATGGGGTGGGGGTGGAGATCACCAGAGGCTCACGTCACACGCAAATTGCTCCGTCGGAGGAAAGGGCTCATTGGGCTGCGCTCATACAGGACCCGCAACCATTCTCTCCCAGCCAGGCCTCCAGTTCAGACGATTCCATTGACAGCTTCGGGGTGTGTGGGGGAACAGAAGAAAGAAAAGACGCACAGGTAACGGGAGGGGCGAACAAAATAGGAGAGGCGAGCCAAATAAACGTGAAACCCTTGGCGGCAGAAAACCCCAAACAGCGCTTTTGAGCCGTGAAAAGACCACAATCGCCGTGACACAAGTATTATGCGGCTTGCGTGCAAGATCCATGCGGGGATGCGCACACACAGCGCCATTGTCAGACCCCCTCTCCTCGCTTCTGGCTTTCTCCTCCTCTGCTCCTCTTCCCCGTCTTTCCGTTCCCTCCACTTTCTTAGAATTTTTAATATTGCGTTTGATTTACGCAGTGGCCGTTGAGGCCATGCAGTAGGGGCTGCGACACAATGCTGGCAATTGTGGTCCGATACGTTGTGGGCAAATTCGTATACGCCGCCATCTGCTTTCCTGCTCCGCGAGTTCCTCGAGTCTAGGGGCTATTGCAAGGTTTCGTTTTAGTTGCATCTCGGTCAGCCTTGCTCGAGCTGCTCGTTCTGGATAGCAGCCCCCTTTAGGGGCAGCGGATTCCTCCTTATGTTGTTGTTGTTGTTGTTGTTGTTGTTGTTGTTGTTGTTGTTGTTGTTGTTGTTCTTGTTGTTGAACATTATTACTTCTAAAGAATAATTATTGTTGGGACCCCTGGTGCACGACCCCCCCGCCGCGCCTAGGCCGCAGCCTCATTTTCATCATTTTCGTGAGGAAGTCTCAGGCAAAACGGGGGAGTCCGGATCCGGTTGTGTTGTTACGATCGGTTTTCCCTTGCAAAAAAATAAGCTAAAGTGGACATTTCTTGTTCTAACATAACCAAACTTCAAGAATCCCTTGCAAAAAATAAGGTAAAGTGGACATTCGCGCGCGCAAGACGAAATCCTTCCAAAACCTTAGTTTTCGTAGCGATTTTAACATAAACATAAAAAACCAATGGTTTTTCAAAAAAAATGTCAAAATTTCATCCCGCGCGCTCTTGCGGATTCGTAGGAAACCCAACACTTTTAATCATTTCTGTCAAACGGGCTTTTGCGAGCAACTTTTTCGAACTTCTGCAACAACGGTTGCGCACCTGCCAGGGCCATCATCCCTGTCAAATAATACCATGCGGGACACATTCGTTTTTTCTTCGCGCGCGCACGCCGTCGTCGTCGGCCGCGGGGCCCTGAATAGTAGCCACGGTCGTCCGCATGCCACGAAGTGAAGTGTCCGAACGTCATAGGGCGGGAAGCTGGGTGTGGGTGGTGGCGAAGAGTCGTTTGGAAATTTGGTAGAGCTTGAACCGGCCCCCCCACAAAGTGGGGGTATTGCCCGCCTCCTATGAAAACCCTGGCACTGGTGAGAACGGTGTGTCCCCACGTGCTAGTAATTGTGATTGTTGTTGTTGTTGTTGTTGTTGTTGAGCATTATTTCTTCTTAAGAATAATTATTGTTGGGACCCCTGGTGCGCGACCCCCCTCCAAAACCTAGGCCGCAGCCTCATTTCCTTCATTTTCTAGCGAAAGCTTCAGAAAAGTGGATTGGTACCGGATCCGGTTGTTTTGTTCCCCCCCGCTTTCCCTTGCAAAAAACACTATAAAATGAAATTTCTTGTTCAAATGTAATCAAATTTCAAGAATCCCTTGCAAAAAATAAGGTAAAGTGGACATTCGCGCGTGCAAGACGAAATCCTTCCAAAACCTTAGGTTTCGTAGCGATTTTAACATAAAAACATCAAAAACCCAATGGTTTTTTAAGAAAAAATTGTCAAAATGTCCTTCCGCGCGCGCTGTCCGAATCCCACAAAACCAATGGTTTTTCAACATTTATGTTACATGAGCTCGCGCGAGCTACTTTTTCTTGTTCTAACATAATCAAATTTCAATAATCCCTTGCAAAAAATAAGGTAAAGTGGACATTCGCGCGCGCAAGACGAAATCCTTCCAGAACCTTAGGTTTCGTAACGATTTCAACATAAAAACATCAAAAACCCAATGGTTTTTCAAAAAAAAAATGTCCAAATTTCATCCCGCGCGCGCTGTCCGACTCCCACAAAACCAATGGTTTTTCAACATTTATGTTACATGAGCTCGCGCGAGCTACTTTTTCTTGTTCTAACATAATCAAATTTCAATACTCCCTTGCAAAAAAAAGTAAAGTGGACATTCGCGCGCGCAAGACCAACAAAAAACACGACGATCTCAGGAACTTGCCCCAAAAATGTGACCAACTCCGCTCTCTCTGTCTCTCTCTCTGTCTGCTCTCTGTCTCTCTCTCTGTCTGTCTGTGTCATGTATTGTATGTCACAATTGCAGGATGCTGGGCACACGCGCGCCCCGAATAAGTGACCAAGTTCTGTGGGTGTGTACCCACGCCAGTGTAGTAGCCACGGTCGTCCGCACGCCACGAAGTGAAGTGTCCCAACGTCATAGGGCGGGAAGCTGGGTTTGGGTGGTCGCGAAGAGTCGTTTGGATATTTGGTAGAGCTTGTAATGCCCCCCCACGAAGTGGGGGTATTGTCTCGCGTCGCATGAAAACCCTGGCACTGGTGAGAACACTGAGCGTTCGGGTAAAATGATTGTTGTTGTTGTTGTTGTTGTTGTTGTTGTTGTTGTTGTTGAACATTATTAATTCTAAAGAATAATTATTGTTGGGGCCCCTGGTGCGCGCCCCCCCTGCGCCGCCTAGGCCGCAGCTACATTTTCATCATTTTCGTGAGGAAGCCTCAGAAAAGAGGGTGTGTACAGGATCCGGTTGTTTTGTTGTAATCCGCTTTCCCTTGCAAAAAACAATAGAAAATGACATTTCTTGTTCTAATATAATCAAATTTCAAGAATCCCTTGCAAAAAAATAGGTAAAGTGGACATTCGCGCGCGCAAGACGAAATCCTTCCAAAACCTTAGTGTTCGTAGCGATTTTAACATAAAAACATCAAAAAACCAATGGTTTTTCAACAAAAAATGTCAAAATCTCATCCCGCGCGCTCTTGCGGATTCGTAGGAAACCCAACACTTTTTAAACATTTCTGTCAAACGGGCTTTTGCGAGCAACTTTTTCGAACTTCTGCGACAACGGTTGCGCACCTGCCAGGGCCATCATCCCTGTCAAATAATACCATGCGGGACACATTCGTTTTTTCTTCGCGCGCGCACGCCGTCGTCGTCGGCCGCGGGGCCCTGAATAGTAGCCACGGTCGTCCGCATGCCACGAAGTGAAGTGTCCGAACGTCATAGGGCGGGAAGCTGGGTGTGGGTGGTGGCGAAGAGTCGTTTGGAAATTTGGTAGAGCTTGAACCGGCCCCCCCACAAAGTGGGGGTATTGCCCGCCTCCTATGAAAACCCTGGCACTGGTGAGAACGGAGTGTCCCCACGTGCTAGTAATTGTTGTTGTTGTTGTTGTTGTTGTTGTTGTTGTTGTTGTTGAACATTATTAATTCTAAAGAATAATTATTGTTGGGACCCCTGGTGCACGGCCCCCCCGCCGCGCCTAGGCCGCAGCTACATTTTCATCATTTTTTCGCGAAAGCTTCAGAAAAGTGGATGGGGTCCAGATCCGGTTGTTTTGTTGTAATCCGTTTTCCCTTGCAAAAAACACTATAAAATGACATTTCTTGTTCTAATATAATCAAATTTCAAGAATCCCTTGCAAAAAATAAGGTAAAGTGGACATTCGCGCGCGCAAGACGAAATCCTTCCAAAAGCTTAGTGTTCGGAGCGATTTTAACATAAAAACATCAAAAAACCAATGGTTTTTCAACAAAAAAATGTCAAAATCTCATCCCGCGCGCTCTTGCGGATTCGTAGGAAACCCAACACTTTTTAAACATTTCTGTCAAACGGGCTTTTGCGAGCAACTTTTTCGAACTTCTGCGACAACGGTTGCGCACCTGCCAGGGCCATCATCCCTGTCAAATAATACCATGCGGGACACATTCGTTTTTTCTTCGCGCGCGCACGCCGAAATCTCCAAAAACCATTGGGTTCTTAAGAATTTTAGCACCGCGCATCATAAAATCACACGAATCGCACCGTAGGTCCTCGAAAAACACCTGCACGACTTTTCAAAATTTCCACCCGCGCGCGCAACCATCGAGACAACCATCGGGACAACCATATCCTCTCTCTCTTGTGTATTCCCACATCCCTCAGGAATTTGCCCTAAAGATGTGATCAACTATCTTGTGAGTACGTATCATGTGTATCATGTGTATCATGTACCATATGCATCATATGCAACAGATGTTCTGTGGAAGGCTTAACAACTTCTGTGGGTTAACAAGGCTTAACAACTTCTGTGGGTGTACGAACGTAGGCTTAACAACTTCTGTGGGTGTGTACTCCACGCCAGTGTAGTAGCCACGGTCGTCCGCAGGCCACGAAGTGAAGTGTCCGAACGTCATAGGGCGGGAAGCTGGGTGTGGGTGGTGGCGAAGAGTCGTGTGGATATTTGGTAGAGCTTGCACTGCCCCCCCACAAAGTGGGGGTATTGGCTGGCGTCGCATGAAAACCCTGGCACTGGTGAGAACACTGAGCGTTCGGGTAAAGTGATTGTTGTTGTTGTTGTTGTTGTTGTTGTTGTTGTTGTTGTTGTTGTTGTTGTTGTTGTTGTTGTTGTTGTTCGCGAGGACACTACTGGAGGCCCGTTGCTCGACCCCCCCCCCCCCGAGCAACACAACGGGGCCACGCACGGGCCCTGCAGGGCCCCTGGTCCGAGCAACGCCACGAGGCCTCGCCAGGCCGCTGCGGGGGTCTGCAGGGCCCGGCGGCGTTGCTCGGCAGGTCCTTTCGGGACTGCTGCGGAGCCCCATACAGGCCCCAAAGGGCGCACCCCTCTCACGGATCGTGGCCCTGGCCCCACAGGGAGCTCCACCGAGGTTTGATTTGGGCACACCCCTCTCGAGGATCGTGGCTCAGTGAGCTCCACCGAAGCTTGGTTTCGGCGCACCCCTCTCACGGATCGTGGCCCTGGCCCCACAGGGGGCTCCACCGAGGCTCCATTTCGGCACACCCCTCTCGAGGATCGTGGCCCTGGCCCACAAGGGAGCTCCACCGAAGTTTGATTTCGGCGCGCCCCTTTCACGGATCGTGGCCCTGGACCCACAGGGAGCTCCACCGAGGCTTTATTTCGGCACACCCCTCTCGAGGATCGTGGCCCTGGCTCCACAGAGAGCTCCTCAGAGGCTTCATTATGGCACACCCCTCTCGAGGATCATTTTGGCACACCCCTCTGCACGGTCCTGCACGATTCCATCGGAACCGTAGAGGGAGCCTATAGGATCCTTACAGGGTCCTGCACGGTTCCGTCGGAATCCTAGAGGGATCATATAGGATCCTTACAGGGTCCTGCACGACTCCATCGGAGTCCTATAAGGAGGAACTTGTAGGATCCTTACAGGGTCCTGCACGATTCCATAGGAGTCCGATGAGGAGGAACCGATCGGATCCTTACAGGGTCCTGCACGATGCCATAGGAACACCCTATAGGGAACCCATAGGATCCTTACAGAGTCCTGCACGGTTCCATCGGGATCCTATAGGGATCCTATAGGATCCTTACAGGGTCCTGCACGACTCCATCGGAACCCTAGAGGGATCCTATAGGATCCTTACAGGGCCCTGCACGATTCCAATGGAACCCTGGAGGGATCCTATAGGATCCTTACAGGGTCCAACAGGTTTCCATAGGAACCCTAGAGGGATCTTACAGGATCCTTACAGGGCCCTGCACGATGCCATAGGAACCCTATAGGGATCCTATAGGATCCTTAACAGGGTCCTACACGATCCCATAGGAACCCTATAGGGATCCCATAGGATCCGCACAGGGTCCTGCGCGATTTTATAAGAATCCTATAGGGGTCTTATAGGATCCTCACAGGGCCCTACAGGATTCCATCGGAACCCTATAGGGATCCGATAGGATCCTCACAGGGCCCCGCAGGATTCCATCGGAACTCTATAGGGATCCTATAGGATCCTTACAGGGTCCTGCACGATTCCATAGGAACCCAATAGGGATCTTATAGGATCCTTACAGGGTCCTGCACGGTTCCATCGGAATCCTATAGGGATCCCATAGGGTCCGCGCAGGGTCCTGCACGATTCCCTAGGAATCCCATAGGAACCTATAGGATCCTTACAGGTCCTGCATGATTCCATAGGAGTACTATAAGGAGGAACCTATAGGATCCTTACAGGGTCTTGCACGATTCCATCGGAACCTCAGAGGGATCCCATAGGATCCTTACAGAGTCCTGCACGTTTCCGTAGGAACCCTAGAGGGATCCTATAGGATCCTTACAGGGTCCTGCACGATTCCATCGGAACCCTAGAGGGATCCTCTAGGATCCTGACAGGGCCCAACATGTTCCCATTGGAACTTTTATAGGGATCCTATAGGATCCTTACAGGGTCCTGCACGATTCTATGGGAAGCCTATATGGGGTCCTCTCGGATCCTTACAGGGTCCTGCACAATTCCATAGGAACCCTGGAGGGATCCTATAGGATCCTTGCAGGGTCCTGCACGATTCTATAGGAACCTTATAGGGATCCCATCGGATCCTTACAGGGTCCTACAGGATTCCATCGGAACCTTCATAAGGGTCCGATAGGATCCTCACAGGGCCCTGCAGGATTCCATCGGGACCCTCTAGGGATCTTATAGGATCCTTACAGGGGCCTGCACGATTCCATAGGAACCCAATAGGGATCTTATAGGATCCTTACAGGGTCCTGCACGGCTCCATAGGAATCCTATAGGGATCCCATAGGATCCTTACAGGGTCCTGCACGGTTCCATAGGACCCCTAGAAGGGGTCCTATAGGAACCTTACAGGGTCCTGCACGATTCCATAGGAGTCCTATAGAGGAGGAACCTCTAAGATCCTTACAGGGTCTTGCGCGATTCCATAGGAACCCTAGAGGGATCCCATAGGATCCTTACAGGGTCTTGCACGATTCCATAGGAACCCTAGAGGGATCCTATAGGATCCTTACAGGGTCCTGCACGATTCCATAGGAACCGTAGAGGGATCCTGTAGGATCCTTACAGGGTCCTGCACGATTCCATCGGAACCCTATAGGGATCCTATAGGATCCTTACAGGGCCCTGCACGATTCTATAGGAACCCTAGAGGGATCCCATAGGATCCTTACAGGGTCCTGCACGATTCCATAGGAACCCTGAAGGGATCCTATAGGACCCTTACACGGTCCTGCACGATTCCATCGGAACCCTATAGGGATCCTATAGGATCCTTACAGGGTCCGGCACGATTCCATAGGAATCCTATAGGGATCCCATAGGATCCTTACAGGGTCCTGCGCGATTCCATAGGAGTCCTATGAGGAGGAGGAGCTGGCCTCGCTGGCGCGTGGTCGGTTTTCGGACACAGGAGTGCGTGGGGAACAGTACGGGAGCCAACGGAGATTCGGAAACACATAGATTTTCGTTAGCGTATGACAGAGGTGTTGCGCGTTGCTCCCCCCCCCCCCCGGGCAACAACTGCAACGTGTGGCCTGGGGCAGTGCGCTCGCCCCGGGGGCGAGGACACACCCACGGGCCCCGCCGGGGTGGCCTGAGAGAGTGTCCTTGCGTTGTTGAACATTATTACTTCTAAAGAATAATTATTGTTGGGGCCCCTGGTGCACGGCCCCCTCGCCGCGCCTAGGCCGCAGCCATGTTTTCATCATTTTCGTGAGGAAGTCTCCGGCAAAACGGGTTGGTCCGGATCCGGTTGTTTTGTTACGGGCGGTTTTCCCTTGCAAAAAATAAGGCAAAGTGGACATTTCTTGTTCTAACATAACCAAACTTCAAGAATCCCTTGCAAAAAATAAGGTAAAGTGGACATTCTCGCGCGCAAGACGAAATCCTTCCAAAACCTTAGTGTTCGTAGCGATTTTAACATAAAAAACATCAAAAAACCAATGGTTTTTCAAAAAAAAAAAAAAATGTCAAAATTTCATCCCGCGCGCTCTTGCGGATTTGTAGGAAACCCAACACTTTTTAAACATTTCTGTCAAACGGGCTTTTGCGAGCAACTTTTTCACGTAGACCAGACGAATGAGCCAGTATTGCACATTGAGGCCGGAACGACAACCACAGAACAAGAATGAGCATGTATCGTCTCACAACAACGGAAACAAGTTTTGTGGTATGCTGGCGCCACCCACGTGGTACCACTCAAAATAAGTGTCTTCGCTTGTGTGGTACAGAAACGGAAAAACGTCGTATCAGACGCTAGCGCCTCACCAGCCAAAGCAGTCCATATCATTGTAGGACCTACAGACAGTACCGGCGTCGTACTGGTTTACCGTGGTTTCCTATTCTAGCGTCAGGAACACGTTACCACCAAAAACCAGTACAGGTGTCCAGTGTTGGAACAGGGGGAAAAGTCGTATACTAAGCTAGCGTCCAGAAAATGTTACCACAACAAGTCACTGTACCCATGCGCCAGTGTAGTAGCCACGGTCGTCCGCAGGCCACGAAGTGAAGTGTCCGAACGTCATAGGGCGGGAAGCTGGGTGTGGGTGGTGGCGAAGAGTCGTTTGGAAATGTGGTAGAGCTTGAACCGGCCCCCCCACAAAGTGGGGGTATTGGCGGGCGTCGTATGAAAACCTTGGCACTGGTGATAACGGAGTGTTCCCACGTGCTAGTAATTGTTGTTGTTGTTGTTGTTGTTGTTGTTGTTGTTGTTGTTGTTGTTGTTGTTGTTGTTGTTGTTGTTGTTGTTTGAATGTGGCCTGATTGCAAGATGATCTGAGAGCAGAAATGTTCCCGCGCGGGCATGCATTCCGCCCATTGTATGATCAACATATATACACATGTATAAGAACTATATAGACATTTTGTGCGGAGTAATTTCCGATCCTGCTTTGAGATAACAGAGTTCTTGAATAAGGGGGGCCCGAACAACTCCGCGGGAGCGCAGGGACCATCTGTTCGTGTAAGGAATCTTCAGAGGGACCAGGGATTCCAACATCATACCAGACCGCATGAACCTTCGTCACGGCAGTGTATAGGAAGTACTGCAGCGAGGGAGCATTATTACGCAGAGTAGTGCTGCAAGTGCTCACATACGAGAGATTATGGGGTCGCCGTCCCGAAGCGCACCTCCGCAATCCATCGTTCCCCACAGAAGTTCAGAAGTGCCTGCGCGCCCCCCTGCTCAACCCCGTGAGGCCCCAATGGGGTCCCCCGGGGACCTCTTGAAGCCCCCGGAGGCCACGCAGAAGCATCTGATCTCAAGATGCCTCCGAAGCTCACGCCGTGACGCCGCCAGGATTTTTCGGAGCAGGGTCAGACCACGGGGGGAGGGGGGGGCGGGGGCCGCCTGACCGCGCGATGGCCTTCGCCCGAAGAATAAGAAGAAGAAGAAGAAGAAGGAAAAGAAGGCGAAGAAGAAACCCATGTTCCTCTTCCTCCTCGTCTTCCGGCGTCGGCGGAGGAAGAACCCGCAGTCGCAGCTGTACACTGGGCTGGGCGTCATCACCAAAGGGACCATCATCGAGGCCCCTGGGTCGCCCTCGGGCACGATGGGGGCTCGGTCGTGCGCCTTTGGAGGCCACTTAAGAGGTGTTACGGGCGAAGGAGGAGGATGAGAAGGAGGTGGGAGGTGGGAGGTGGAGAAGGAACAGGAGGAGCAGGATAATGCTGATGAAGAAGAAGACGACGAGGATCGCGAATCACCTGCCCTTGCCTGATGTGGGGTCAGCGGCGCGCACGTGGCGCACGACCGTTAAGAAGCTGGCGAGGAGGAGCAAGCCGAAGGCGAACACCGCGGCGGACAGCTTCTCCCCATGAGGAGCGCTATCCCAAGGGTGGGGAGGACGCGGCACAGATCTGAAGGATCGTGCTCTGTGGTGCAGGAGGTCGCCGAAGACGCCGAGTACGCCCCAGTGGCTCCCCTAGGAGCTCGCACGCGGCTTGAGTAAAGGCAGTTTCGATTCCTTCCAAGAGGAAGATTGCGAGCAGCCTGATGGAGAGGTACTGATACCATCCCACCAAGGACTGAAATACATGTAGAAATCTCCTACAGAGAGGAGACCTGACCATTCAAGGACGCCCCACGCTACCAGCTGCTCCCTTCGAAGCTGTCTCCGGAGGGTGAGGATGTGGGGCTTTGACCCTCCGAAGAGGCGTGTTCACGCGGCTCCTCAAGGAACTCTCAGCGGTACTGACCCTCCGAAGAGGCGTACCCACGCTGGTGGCCGCAGGCCCAGGTCCTGCGTCAGGAACACCGCCAGGGAGAAGAAGACGTGCAGGCGCGGCGCCCCGTCGCTCCTTGGAGCACCCGAGCGCGCAGGGCCCAGGACCAGCAGAGGACCCCATCCGCAAACACCGCGAGCGACCTGGGTACCCGCAGACCGTCGTCTTGGCACTCCGAGCTCCGAGCTCATGGCTGGAAGTGCTGCACGAGCGCATCTGGAGCTCCACGGGCTGCACCGGGGTTCTCCGCCGCCGTGCGGATCCTGCCCGAGGAGATCGGCTGCGGCCTGCCGCGCGGAGCTCTTTCTTGCTCGGGGACCACCATCTCATGCGCCTGCTCGAGGGTCGTCCTGACACTGTCGGCGATGCCCCCGGTGTAGGCGGCGAAGGGCGGATGGGCGGGAGCAGCAGCCGCCGCCGCAGCCATTGCGAGGGCCGCCTCGAGGACGGCATCGTCGTCGCTTGGTTGTGTTTTTGGTCTGGATCGAGTCTCAAGCATCGAGTGAAGTATCGTCGACGATGGGACCGGGGGCGGAGCGGATAGGTGCAGTGTACAGCGGAGGTTCAAAACAAACCCACGGTGCATTGCATCCTTCTGCTTGCGGTGCAGCCTCTTGACCCCGCTCGCAGCGCCGCTCATGCCTCGCTCGCACCCGCAGAGCTGGCGTCGTCACGGCTGGTTTGGTATCGTGCGGACGGGGCGCCTCTACGTCTAGGGGGCTCGTCAGCGAGCCGCTCGCCCCAGCGCAAGGGAGGTCGTCGACCTGCTCGACCTGCTCCACGACCGCTGATGGGGGGTCGGAGGCCTGGGCGGAGGCAGCATCTGCCGCCTCGGACATCTGGGAGACCAGCTGACCCCTATGACCTCGGGCGCCTCCATCAGCAGCCTCGGCACTCGGGCGCCTGGCTGCCGTCCAGATGCCAGCATCGGCTGCAGGAGCGGCGCGGAGAGCCGCAACCAGTGCTGCCCCCAGCTGCGTGGGCTGGCCCCGCCGATGGCGGCTCAACTCTACGATGCACCGGAGCAGCGCTGGGGCGGCACGGCCTTGCTCCATGCTCTGTTGCGCCCGCCGCTCGGCCGCAGAGCGACGCGGCCGCTGGTTGGCCAGCCAGGGCAGCAGGGCCGTGGCGTTGGTGAAGGGAGAGGCGGGGGGAGGGAGCGGGAAGCAGAGGCCAGGGCCTCCCAGCGCTGGCTCGTTGGTAGGCCGTTCTGAGCTGACCCTGGAGGATGGGAGGAGAAGGAGGAGGAGGAGAAGAGGAGGAGGAAGTGGAGGATGGGAAGGAGGAGGAGGAGGAGGAGGAGGAAGTGGAGGATGGGAAGGAGGAGGAGGAGGAGGAAGTGGAGGGGTAGGAGGAAGTGGAGGGGGAGGAGGAAGATGAGGAGGAGGCGGCGAAGGAGGAGAAGGACGAGGAGGAGGAGGAGGAGGAGGAGGAGGAGGAGGAGGGGTGCAGTAGACGGGGAGATGGACGGGGACGGGGAGGGGGAGGGACCGAGGAAGGAGGGGGATTGATGTTTTCTGGACGCCTCTTGGTTGCTCGGACAATTTGTTGTTTGACTTGAGCTCTTTGTCGCTTCTACAGTTCGGGTGCCCAGGTCAAAGGGTTAGGGGCCCTCTGCAAACCTCCCACCATTTCGATAGCGTCGGGCAAGCATCCCGACAAACGAGGTGTTTCTGTCGAGACCATTTTCTTGGTGAACGTCTCCTTGACGCAGCGAGCCTCCTTTCTGCCTTCGAAGGCCACTGCGGAGGCCCCAGTCCTGGAAGATGCCATTCGCGCGTTTCAAGGCCAGGCCCGTTCTAGCAGGGCTGTCCCCGACGCTTAAGAGGCTAATTCCTTGTTCCCCCAGAGCACCGAGCCAGCTAGGCTGCCCTCTGAGGGTGTCGTCGCTCTGTCGTCCGCCGCTGCAGGTCGCGGCACGTGGGCGGCCAGCTGGCTCAGGTGGTGGTCGGACGGTCCGAGGCAGAGTCAGGCGAGACGGCTGACCGGGACCCCACAGGCATTGCGGTTGTACAGGGCGGGCGAGGCAGTGTATTGGTGGGAGGTGCCCCCACCGTCGCTTCGCAGGCCATGCCGTCTGCGGATCGTGTCGCGGACCTCAGGCATGTGCTCCGACAGGTCGTTGCATCCCGAAGGGTAGAGGGCGACGAGGGCTCACTTGTCCCTCCATCTCGGAGTCCTTCTGAGGATGACTCCGATTACTGCTGCGCCATGAGCAGCCCTGCCTTGGCGGTGCCAGGCAGGACATCATTGTTCTAGTTCCCCTCATCTCGTGTCCCGACCTGCTTGTAGGGTCTATTCATGGGCAGTTTTGCCCAGCCTGCTGTCTGGTCCGACTGGCCGCGCTGGCCTTCGGTCATGCGCGTGGCAAGATAGACTTGTTCCGTCTGGCCGCGCTGGCCCTTGGCCACGCTTGTGGCTGGAAGGGCGCGTCGCAGGCTGGGCCTTTTTTCCCTTAGGCCATCGGGCGGGCTCGCCCTTTGGCATCTGTTTCCCGCTCCTTCGGGTCACCCGCGGCTGGGCTGTGCCGATTGCCCGCCGCTGTGTCCGACGAACACCGTTGGACTTCTTTCTGTTTCAGGGAGGCCGCTCACTGTGCGCGGCTTCCAGCGTGGGCCTCTCTCTGGCCCCTGGGCCGCCGTCCTGGCGTAGCTGGATCCCCATGGGTCCAGTGTGCCAGTGAGGGGCCACCCTGGTTCGGGTCTCTGGGGCATGTCTCACCTCGGTTCCCTGCCAGACCCGTTCCTCGCCTTGTTGGCCCTCTGGCTCGCGCGCACGTTCGGCTCGTCGTGTGCAGCACGTGTGGCGCGTGTGACAGGCACCCCTGCTGCCGCGCCACTTACGGGGCTTCGGAGCTTCGGGGGAAGGAGCAATTGCACAGCTGCTTTCGCGGGACTGCCAATGCGTCTCGCATGGCAGTGCCGTGGCTTGGCACTGAGGCATGGCGTTGATGTCTTAAAAAAGTGGCAAAGGAGGAGCGGAGGCCAGTTTGATGATGCTCATCCGGTGGAACATCACGGGGAGCAGGTTGTGGCAAGCTGGCGAGGCATGAGCAGCAGCAGGAGCAGTTTGCTGGAGGGGTTGCCAGAGGCCGTCGGAAGGGCCGATCGGCAATGGGTGTCTGGCCCCGGGCAAGCGGCGTAAGATGCTTGGGTCGACCGCGCGGACGTTCGTGCGTCAGCCGCCCGCGTAAGGTCGCTCGCAAGCGCCTTCTTTTCTTGCCGAAGCGGTGTGCTGCCCTGGCGGCCCGCAGAAGCCGCCGCGTCAGGTCGCAGAACCATCCAGCGCGATACCGCATACCCCTTTTCCTTCGTCGTCCAAGTGTTCCCGTTTGCCCCCGCTGGCCCGAACCGCCCCCGACAGGCCCCCTACAGCGCCGGGTTTTATCAGATAACAGGTTGGTCTTCCCAAATCACGGGTGCATTTGTTTCCTGCGTTTCGCGTCCCATGTCCTCCGCATTCCGGGCAACGTGGCCCTCGGAAGGGTCGTGTGCTCTCTCGCCTCCTCCGCTCAAACTCGACCCTACCTTGGCGCACCGCCGGTTCCGTCGGCCGTCGCTGCAGCTCCCAGTACTGGAGCGCCGCCGACTTTCGCTGGCTGCGACTTGGCCCTGACTGACCTGCTGCCCCGGCGCGCAGCCGATTCCCGCGGTCACCATCCCAGCATCGTTGGACTTCTCCCTCACCCCCACAGGGGACGCCCTGGCCCCGCTGTCCGACCCACCCCCCTGGCTGTCGGGTTTCGCGGCATCTATCTCCACCTGGGGCGGTCGGCTGGTGGCGCTAAGGTGACCTGGCCTGGCCCAGAGGAGGCGGGGACGGAAACAATGGTTCTGACCATCAGCCCCGACAAGTCCCTTGCCCCAAAAGATCGAATACCTCCATGATGCCGTTCTGAAGACTCGTATACATATAACGGCGCACCGGGTCCGGGGGCCCGGGGCCGGGACCCCGACCGCAAATGTGGGCCCCGGGGGGCCCAGAGGCTCGTCGGACCGCCGGACGCCGTCCAAGATCGTTCGCAGGCGGCTTCGGAACGCGCTCCGATGGCTCCAGATGCCTTCCAAGACGCCTGTCATGACACCAAGAAGGTCCCAGAAGCCTCCAAGACGCTCCGAGAGGCAGCCCAAGAGAGGCCCAAGAAGCAAAAATCGTGCCATTCCTATGGGAAAACGTATATTTTTCGTATGTTCGCATCTTGGGCTTTCACCGCGTCCAAGACGGCCCAAGAGGCCCCAAGACGGCCTAGAGGCCTCCGGGAGCGCTCCAAGGCTGCGCACGAGTGGCCCAGGACGGCCCCAAGACGGCCCAAGAGAGCCCCAAGACGAGTTCGAGAGGGGTCCCAGACGGAGAAAGCCAACCTCGAATTCCGAGCTTCCGGCCCAAGAGGCTCCAGGAGGCGCCAAAATGCCGCCAAGAGGCGCCAAAAGGCTCCCAAAAGCACCCCAAGACGTTCCGAGAGGCACCCCAAGAGAGGTCCAAGAAACAAAAATCGTGCCATTCCTATGGGAAAACGTATATTTTTCGCATGTTCGCATCTTGGGCTTTCACCGCGTCCAAGACGGCCCAAGAGGCCTCCAAGACGGCCTAGGAGGCCTCCGGGAGCGCTCCAAGGCTGCGCACGAGTGGCTCAGGACGGCCCCAAGACGGCCCAAGAGAACCCCAAGACGACTTCGAGAGGGGTCCCAGAAGGAGAAAGCCACTCTCGAATTCCGAGCTTCCGGCCCAGGGCGCCAAAAGGCTTCCAAAATCAGCCCAAGACGTTCCGAGAGGCACCCCAAGAGAGGTCCAAGAAGCAAGAATGGTCCCATTCCTATGGGAAAGCGTATACTTTTCGCATGGTCGCTTGTTGGCTTTTCACCGCGTCCAACACGTCCGAAGAGGCTCCCAAGACGGCCTAGGTGGCCCCCAAGAGAGTTTCAAGACGGTTCACGAGGCGCCCAGGACGGCAAAATTGGACTCCAAAATGGCCTAAGAGAGCCCCAAGGCGTGCCCGAGAGGGGTCCCAGAGGGAGAAAGCCACTGTAGAATTCCGAGCTTTCGGCCCCAAGGGGCTCCAGGAGGCGCCAAGAGAGCCCCAAGAAGCCCCCACGAGAGACCCAGGACGCCCCAAGAGGCTCCAAAGGCGGCCCAAGAGAGCCCCAAGATGGGCCCGAGAGGGGTTCCACGCAAGTTGTTATTGTATCGCTCGGGAAAGGACGAGGATGAGGAGGAAGACGAGGAGGAGGAGGAGGAGGAGGAGGAGGAGGAGGAGGATTCCTGGGTCTGTGACTCCCTAAGCGCGCGCGAAGCGCGCGCGTGGTTCTGGTTTGATCTGTTCTGGAAGCGTGCTCAGAATGGAGGCTCGGCCTCCGAAATTGAGGTGTTCGATTATCTGGGGCCTTTCTAGACCTTCGACCTTCGTGCTCTTCTCAACGCCAGCAGTTTTTGTCCAGCAGCTTCTCGTGTGGCCAATATCCAGGATGAATTTCGGGTCGAGAGGTCCGTGCCATCGTCAACTCACCTGACCTTGTATCGCCCCCGATCGAAGGAGAGGGCATCGCGGAGCAAGCTTTCGCAGCATATGTAAGTTTATTTTCCTGGGGGAAGTCGCCTCCCAGTTGGTCGGGAAGGACCCCTCGCGGTCTTGGGCTCATGGCATGGACCACAATCAATTCCAGCAAGCAACTTGCCTTGGCCACGTGTCCGAGTCTGTTGCCCACAGCTAACTAGCCCCAATCAGCACCCTGGAGCCCTGGAGCGAGTGCCGTCAGACCTGGCCCACTCCGTGTCCAGATCTCCGAATGCGCGTCTTTTCAGTTCAAGCGTTTCTCCTCGATTTCGGTTTCTGGAGGCCTTCTCGGGCCCTGGGACCGTTAGACGTTGGATCTGCGACGACAAGTGGCCCACAGGAAAGGGGTCGAGACGTCTGGGGCCCGCAGCTTGAATGTGTAACTCGTCCTGGGGAGGTCTGGGAACGGTGTGCTGCTTGGAGCCCACGCGCTACGTGCCCTTGCCGCCCAGGCCCGGGAGTCGTGCCTGCTTGGATCTTTGACCGGTTTGCGGCGACGCTTCCTGTGCCCCTGCCGAGATACGGAGGGGGCGCTCGTTAAGGAATGTGCCCCGGGGGCTTCAGACCCTGGAGGGTTCCTTATCTGATGACGGCGGTGATATCCATGGTCAATCCCAGACCCTGGATCCCTTAATCCAGTGCCCCCGCCGAGACAGCGCCAGAGACCCGTGCACGCTGGCAGGTCAACGTGTCCGAGCTGGGCCTGGTGACGCAGACGGGCAAGGCCCGCGGTGGGCAGGGCGGGGGCCCCGTTGCTCCGACGCCGGGGGCGCCCTCGCGGCGCGGGGCCCCCCGGGAGCTCTCGGCCCTGCAGGGCGCTCATGTCTCCTGCGTGGGCACAGCGCCGCCGAGCCCCATCGCAGTCGGCACCTCTCGCTGCTCATTCGTGGCCTGAGGTGGAGATGACCGACATTAGAAGCGTGGAATGCGCTCGCCTGTGCGTGTGTGTGTGTGTGTGTGTGCGTGTGTGTGTGTGTGTGTGCGTGTGTGTGCGTGTGTGTGTGTGTGTGTGCGTGTGTGCGTGTGTGTGTGTGTGTGCGTGTGTGTGTGTGTGTGTGTGCGTGCGTGTGTGCGTGTGTGTGTGTGTGTGTGTGCGTGTGTGTGTGTGTGTGTGTCTGTGCGTGTGTGTGTGTGTGTGTGTGCGTGTGCGTGTGCGTGTGCGTGTGTGCGTGTGTGCGTGTGTGCGTGTGTGTGAGCGTGTGTGTCGGCACCTTTCATCTGTAATTCGCGGCCGGGATTGGAAATGACCAGAAACAGAATTGACCGGAATTGGTAATGAGTGCTCTGTGCTCCCGGGGGCAGTGTCTTCCAGGATCGGGCCCTCGGCCCCGGCCCTCGAGCCTTCCTGGCCTGGGCCCGCAAGGGCCTGTCACAAGGGGGACGAGGTCGCGGGAGAGCCGCGGGCACCGAAGAGACCGTGGCGGCGGAGGTGTGGGGCAGCGCCGCGTGGGACGCGCTGCGCCAGCAGGGCGGAGGCTGGCCCCAGAAGGGCCTCGCCTGGTCTTTCGGGCGCCTCGCGGGCGCCGTGGCACCGCCCACCCCTCCCTGCCCAGAAGCCGCGGAGCCGCGGGCCATGCAGCCGCAGGGGGCTCCGGGCAGCCAAGGGCCGCGGCGCCGGGTATGCATCCCCCGGGCCCGCCGGCTCCCGTCGAAGAACCGCACACTGCTCACGCAGAGGTGTTCGGAGCTCCGCGCGGATCTCTTGGGTCGGCGCTGGGTCCCCCCTGGCGGCGCCTCCGGCGCTGCACCTGGCCCGCTCCGCGCGCCATGGAGGGGGGGAGGGCAGCGCCGACCCAAGAAATCCGCGCGGAGCTCCGACAGTTTATGTGTATGCAGCTTTTGTTCCTCGGTCCCAGGCGTCCCCATTGTCTATCGAAGACGCCGAATTACTGCGAATCGCCGCCGCCGCCGCCGCCTGCCCTCTGGATACGCCTATGTGGCCAAACGTTGGGCCAGGGTTTGGCCAAGCTAGTGGACTGCATATGTGCTCCCCTGGTCGTTGTGGAAACCCTTCGGGGAGCACCTGGGGGAGGAAGAGGGGAATAATCAGGAGAAGAAGGTCGAGCTGGAGGATGAGGAGGAGGATGAGGCCTCTTTTGGAGCCTGCTGGGGCCTCTTGGTGACCTCTTGAGGCCATCAAGGACCGTCTTACAGCCATCTCGGGTCGTTTGAGGGCCATCTTGGCCGCCTTGGAGGGCACCCTGGATCGTCTTGGACGCTATATTACAGGGCCATGCTGGCCGCGCGCGAGTCCGTATTGGCCGTCGTCGAGCCACCTTGGCGACTTTTCGGGCCTTCTGAGGCTGTCGGACACCCGAAATGGCAAGAAGGCCAACATCTTTGTCGGGGCCGCCCTCGGGCACCGCAACCATCAGAACCATCGAGAGCCTCCCAGAGGGAGGCCCGACCTCCACTCTGAATGTGCTGCTTCATACCGTTGGATGTCTGGGAACCGTAGCCCGCCCTGATCCCCCTTCCTCCCCCCGTGCCCCCTCTGAAGGGGGGAAGGAGGGGGAGGGGGGCGTGCCACCGCATGGGCCCCCCGGCTCCGATCTGGAGGAGGCAGTGCACATCGGGCAGGCCACCTTCCAGAAAAAGGGTCCTGGGGCAAATGGGGTCCTGAGGCTTTTCGGCGCTTCCGTCCTCCCAGGGTCCCTTCGGGCATCGGGGCTCAAGAAGCAGTTCAGGATGAGAAGCTGGTCCAGCGGAAAGCCCCAGGGTCCTGGACCCGTTTCCCTCAGGACCATTTCCCCCCCCATTCCAGACAGAGGGTGATTTTTTGCTTCTGGTGCCCCCCATCGCGCGCCGCTTCTCTGCCGCGCTCCCATGGTACTACCCCATGCCGGTGTGAGATTCATCTCCCTGGCATCAGCGCCACACAGCACATCGGGGCAGGTTGTGAGGCGAAGTAGGGGGAGGACCAGGAGCAGGATGAGGCACGTCGAACAAGTTTAGGTGAAAACACTCGCGCGGATCCGTGACGTCAGAGTCTTCTGGCTGTGATTTTCGCACGTAGGCTTTAGGTCTGAGCGAAGCAGGTGAGTTATGCATGAGGCAAGAAGCCACACGCGTTGGTCTGCACATGTGTCGTCTTAGTACATGTGCAGTTGAAGCAAATTGTCTCTTGTTGTCATTACGGTCGCGCCAGGTTGTTTGGGCCAAGTATGCCCAGGTCACGAATAACCCCGAAATGGACGGGTGCATCAATGCGTTGTTGCTCGTCTGAGATTGGCTGGATTGTCGAAGTATTGTTGAAGCAAGCTGCGCCACCGCCGCAGCTGCTCCCTCAGCATCTGTCACAAGTTGGGGCAGTTTTTATTTGGTTTCCAGGGGTGGGTTTCGTGACGGAGTTGGAGATCCTGAGGAACACATTTCAAAGCAGGTTGTCCGTTGGATCTTCGGGGGCAGGAGAAGCAGATGCGACACACTAACTTGTAATTGTTCCACCATCGTCCATGCACCTCTGCAGGCAACATGTAGGAGGGGCCAATCCAGCAATACGGTAATCAATACCGCAGCATTGAAAGAAATTTGCCGCTGTCTGAGGTTCAAAGGTTTGGCAGATAATGCGACGATGCGACGACTCATTCGCTGGTTGGCCCACCTTGGAGCCAGGAGGGCCTCCTTCGGGCTGTGGCAGCAGTGTATCATCCATCACGGCCTAGCCTTTGTGCCTTTTTCCTGGCAGCCGCCGTCGCCGGCCTGTCTCTGTATCAACAATGCCTTGTGGCGAGTCACCCTCCGCCACACTCTGCCTCCGATACTCTGAGTCAGCATTGCATCGGACAGCTGTTAAGCAACAAAAGAGCTTATTGGAAGGGTCCCTTGTCAGGGTGAGTATAGGGACACCATTCGAGTGACGAAGAGGTTGGGGGATGGGTGCAGCTTTCGGTGTGCAATCGTCGCTGGACCAAAACTATGTACCTATCGATCTCACGATCTTTCGATCTTTCTTTTTCACTATCTATCTACCGATCGACAACCACGGGACAACTACGGGGCAACCACGGGACAACCACAGAGCAACCACAGGGGACAACCGCCGAATTAACACATGACAACCATCGGGACAGCAATCGGAACAGCCGTCGGAGCAACCACGGGGACAACCACGGGACAGGCATGGAATGACCATCGGGGCAACCATCGGGACAAGCATCGGGACAACCATTGGAGAAGCCATCGGGACAACTACGGGACAACCGTCGGAGTAACCATCGGCGGAACCATCAGGAAAACCATCGGGACAAGCATCGGGACAACCATCGGAGCGATCATCGGGACAGCCATCGGGACAAGCCTCGGGACAGCTACCGGGAAAACCATCGGGACAATCATCGGGGCAACCATCGGGACAACCATCGGGACAACCGTCGGGACAGCCATCGGGACAACCATCGGGACAACCATCGGGACAACAATCGGGACGGCCATCGGGACAACCATCGGGACAAGCATCGGGACAATCGTCGGAACACCCGCAGGACAATCATGGGGTATCAATCGAGACTGACATCGGGACAAGGCCTGCACAGGATAACCATCGGGACAATCATCGGGACCAACTACGCGACAACCACAGAACAACCATGGGAGAAACACGGAACAGTTATGACAACCATCGGGGCAACAGTCGAGACAACAATGGGGACATCCATCAGGACAATCACGGGACAACCATCGGAGCAATCATCGGGACACCCATCAGGACAACAATCGAGGTTGCCATCGGGACAACCATCAGGACAACGACGGGCCAACCACGGGACAACCACAGAACAACCACAGGGCAGCCATCGGGACAGCCATCGGGACAACCATTGGGACAACCATCGGGACAGCCATCAGGACAACCATCAGGACAACCAGCAGCAGGACAACCAGCAGCAGGACAAGCATCGGGACAACCAGCAGGGCAGCCACCGGGACAAACGCGGGACAATTCCGGGCCTTGCCCAGGCGGGCGGGAACACGGCTCGGCTCGTTTTTGCGTGACCTGGGCATAGCGAGTGCAAGAGCTCGCGCTGGTTCGCCTCGCACGCGCCAGACAAATCGAAACCGACTCCGGTTTCCCAGTTGGACTATTCCGTTTCGCTTCGGTCTCACCCCCAATCTCCGATCGTATCCTGGCTGTTCTCGTTGTTGGGTTCATCGTCACGGGCGTACACGAGTGGATGGCCGACGGGGGCAGATGCCATCAACTAGCGAATCCCGATGACGCCCCCGCCTACGTTCGCAGCGAGGGCCGTGCACTTGGGGGCGGGTGGCACGCTGATCTGTCCCAGTGACGGGGGATTGTAGTGGGCACATCAGCTAAACGAATTAGTTTTCCGATCGATACTGCAAGGGAATTTCTGATCACCCAGGGGCCCCGAGGGTCGCCGAGGGGCACCTTGGGAAGCTTAAGCATGGACGGCGCATGTAGCCCCAGATTTTCTTGCAGCAAGGTTTCTGATCGTATGTATCTACTGTAGGGGTGCGGTAGAGATTTGAGAGCGAAGCCGTGCACGCCCCCGCGGGCTGGAAAAGCAAGCCAATTCGCATGGAGGCCTGGGTAGGCTGCGTGCTCGGGCGCGCCAAGAGATCCGCGGTCCCCGAGCTCCTCCCCAGGCAGAGGCCCAGGGGTCCGTCTGGATAGTGCGTTCTCGTTCGGGATTTGAACAAGTCAGATCCACACAAGTGCATGTTCGGAGGTCCGTGCGGATTTCTTGGATTTGCGCTGGACACCCTGTCCGTGCCTCCCGGGCCGCCCCTGTGCGAAGCGCACCAAGAAATCCTCACGGACCCCCGAAATTTCATGTTGATGTATTTTCCTTCTTCTAGGGGTAGTGCGTTATCCGTCGGGAGGGTGCCTTTTTCTCCAGTGGCGGAAACTCATGGCACGACTGCAGGAAGACTTTCAAGCCGGTCAAGTACAAAGCAAGTCACCCACCCGGGCACCCAGGCGGCCCCTCGATTTCCGGGGGAGGCGGCAGCACTATTTGTTCGCCTTTCTTCGCAGTTGGGATCCGAGCGGCCCACACATATCCACAAGCAGGGGGGGCCAAGGGGAGCAACATCGGCAGAGGGCCGGTCGAGACAGCGACGGCCCTCCCAGGTTTTTCTGTTCCAGTATTCTTGACTTTCCTGGAGTCTCGTCGTCGCCACGACGGCTGGATCCGCTTCCACAAGCGGGTGAGAGGGGTCCGGGGGCCGATTTTGAGCTAATGTGGACCGGGCGGAAGAATTGCCGTTGTCTCGCTTGGCCATTCTCCGAAATGCCCAGAAATCCGAAGGGTCGATCTTTTCAACCGACTCCGCTTGCTTTTCCTTGTCTCGGCCCCTGGGTCGCTCTTCGGCCCCAGGGCCATCACAAATTGTTCCAGGGTCGAATTGCACCCCCCAGGCAAAGGTTGGGGCTGGTGGGGCCCGCATGGGGGAAAGATCATATCGTCGGATATCTGGGTACCGATACCGCAACGCTGCACCAGGACCTGCGGAAGGTTTGCCGACGGCGTTGTTGGTGATGCCCAAGGTGCCACTGCTTAGGCACGTGCGTGTTCGAACTCGGGCATTTGTGTCAATGTTCTGTCAGGGTGCGCGCGACCTGGCCTGCTACCCACCCTCCCCCTCCTTCGTTTTCGCCTGTCGGTGCCTCGTGGGGTGCCCTCGTCGCTGCGGCTGCATCCGCTTCTGAATCCTGGTCAGAACGCGCCCTTGGAGAGGTCCTGGGAGTGGCGGTATTGTTATCTCTTCGCTCCCCCAGCGCTTGTACACAGGGTGTCGGCCCCACAGCACGGGATCCATCTTCAGGCTGCTAAGCAGCAAACTCCGCAGCCTTTCGGCAGTAGCATAATCGCGTCCACGCAGCACCCGCTGTCAGTCGTGCACGCGTCTCGGAAAAAAGGTCGGGTGCTCTGCCGTCGTCCCCCATGCGTGCTATTTGTCTTTCTGTCTCTGTGCGTCCTGGCTTCGGCTGTGCTCTTGCCTGCCAGCGTCAACTCATTTCCGCTAATTATGCCCAGCGCAAGCAGGGCACAAAGGAGTAGGGCTTTGCACAAACGCGCAGAGACTTCGGTCGGATATCCCAGAATTTGTAAGTAGGTCGTTTCTTGATAGGCGTTCATGCATCAGCGTCAGTTCGATTCAATGCTGTGGTTGGCCGTGCATTCTGATATGTTTATTCAAGACGCTTCGCGTTCACCGCCCGCCCATTCCAGTTCTCGCCGGACGAGGCGAAGACGGCTCCATGACGGGAGAAACATAGGCAGGAATTCATCCAAGTCGTGTGCTTTGTTGTTTTTGTCCCGCGTTCTCTCCTCCTATGCTATCGCCTACTATGCTCAGGCATGCCTCGTGGCTGTTCGACAGTAGGTTTGTCGTACTTGCTACTGTTAGTGGTGGTGGTGCTGCGGCTGGTGTTGCTGCTGGTGTTGCTGTTGTCGCTCCTGCTGGTGGTACGGTGCAGTGCTGGTGCCGCTGCTGCTGTTGGTCCCACTTCCGCTGCTGCTGCTGGCGCTGCTGGCGCTGGTGCTGATGGTGCCGGTGTTAGTGCTGCTGCTGCTTGTGGTGCCGCTGCTGTTGTCAGTGGTGGTGGTGGTGGTGGTGCTGCTGCTGCTGGTGCTGGTCGCAGTGGTGGTGCTGCCGCTGCTGGTGGTGCTTCTGCTGATGACGTTGCTCTCTGCGGGGCCTGTCGGGGTGACCTCTTGGGGCTCCTCTGAATGGTTCGGGGTCCTCTTGGTGCTCTTTCGGGAAGCCTGGGGGTCTTTGAGCTCTCTTGGGGCTCTCTTGGGAGCCCTTTGGAGCCTCGGAGGAGGAGCTCTTGGGGCCTCCTTGGAGGCCATCGGTCACACGAGGGGCGGGGTCCCCGATTGACGCCCTCTCCTCTGGAGCCCTCAAAATGGTCTTTTGGAGCCCTCTTGGGCCGATGTTTGGCCGCCCTTGGGCGTTCTTGGGCGCCAAGAAGGGCCGAAGAGGAACCCGAAAAGGGCCCAAAAAGAGGCTAAGAAGGCCCCGAGGCGGTCTGGGGGAAGCCCAGGGCGGCTCAAGCGACAGCACTTCCGCGTTGGGTCGCAACCGCGTCCGTCTTGCAGTAAAAACTGGGCGGGGTCTGACCTGGTTTGGGGTCCGTTTTGCGGCCCAACATGGGCCCCGCAGCGTCCAAAATGGACCCCGGAGCGCGCCCAAAAACGGCGAACAAAAGGGAATGATGAAAAATGACGCACGCGAGCCCGGAAGTCAACTGTAAGCAGCGTCCTGGACAGCCCCGGGGAAGCCGAAATCAGGCCAAAACCATGGTATTTGCTATTTGTTTTGACATCCCCACGTGTCGGCGAGAATGAGCCAAAGAGGCGCTGTAGAGGGCTCCGGGAGCGGATATTGGAGGCCAAGAAGGGGCCCCGACGGGGCCGAAATGGAGCCCACAGGCGCCCCGGCAGCGTCTTCAGAACGGTAGCAAGATCGAGCTTGTCTCGGACGCCGTCGAGGAGCCGTTTTGGAAACCGAAAAAGGGCATTGCCGCAGCTGGGCGGCGGAATGGCGGAGGCCTCTGGGGGGGGGGGGAAAAGGGGGGGGGCTAAAGCTCTGTAGTTAAATCCCACACGCCCCTCAGCCCGGTCGGCGGGCGGATTCAATCGCTTCGCCCATTCCGCCGGCCCATGTTGCATGATCGCTACTGCTTCGCCGTGGGCCCCGGGCCATTGTGGCGCCGCCGAGGAGGAGGAAGATGAGGATGGGGAAGGGGAGGGGAGGGGGAGGAGAGGATGAGAAGGAGAGGAGGAGGATGAAGATAAGTAGGAGGAGGAGGAGGAGGAGGAGGAGGAGGAGGAGGAGGAGGAGGGGGAAGGGGAAGGGGAAGGGGCGGAGGAGGAAGCCTCCCGTTGGCATTTTGTGTTGCTCTTGGGGCCAAACAGGGTCGTCGTCAAGATGCTTCTTTGGGAGGCCTCTTGGGGTCTTTTGAGAAGCCGTTCGGGGGCGCCTGGGTTTCTGAATTTCTGGGGCCTTTGGGGGCCTCTTTTGGGCCTCCTGGGGGCCTCCTGGGGCCTCTTGGGGACCTCTTGGCGGCATCTTGGGACCTCTTGGGGGCCTCTTGGGGGCCTCTCGGGGCTTCCTGGGGCCCTCTTGGGGCGGAAGGCTCGAGTTTTCGGTTCGTGGTCCCCCTCTTGGGCCCCTCTTGGGGCCGTCTTGGGGCCGTCTTGGGCCGTCTTGGGCGCCTCTTGGGCCGTCTCGGGGCCCTCTTGGGCCCTCTTGGGGCCCTCTTGGAAGCCTCTTGGCCCGTCTTGGGGCGCTCTTGGGAGCTTCTTGGGCCGTCTTGGAGCATCGGATGGCCGAAAAGGCGACAAGGCCAAAATCCTTCCAAAACCATCGTAAAAATTATGATTTTGGCCTCTCGGGCCCTATTGTGAGGCCTCTTGGAGGCCACTTGGAGGCCTCTTGGGCCGTCTTGGGATCATCATCGGCGTCTTGGAGCGCTCTTTGGGCGTCTCGGGGGCCTCTTGGGCAGTCTTGGGGACCTCTTGGGTCAGGAGGGGGGTAGTCGATTGCGCCCCTCCCCTCAGAGGCCACCATCCTCGTGAGGGGTGTCGAAAAATTGCCCGGTCTGGCATCTCTGATCCGAGTGTCCTTGGGGTGTCCCGGGGGTGTTCCGGGGTACTTCTCGTCCAGGGACCCCCAGGGGCGGCCCCGCGCGCGCGAACTAGAATATTGTTAACCAGTTACCCGAGATCTTAGCACGCCCTTGGCCCGTTGTGCCAGCGAATTTAGCCCACAGAGCGGGAGTTGTGGTGGGCCCCCACTAGCACGTTCCTCTTTTCGCTTGCGCGCGCAGGTGTTATACAACTGTTGTCAAACGGGGAACAGCCTGAAAGCGGCTACATTGCATGAAGTTGCGTTGGATCTTGAAAGCAGTACCCCGCGGAGGGTCACTCCGAGGGGCGTCTTAAGGCCACTGAGCCACTTTGGGGCGCTCCTGCGACGTCTCGGGCCCGTCTCGAGAGCCTGCAGGCGGCCTCGTGCACTGTCGTGGAGCTTTCACGGGGCAGTCTCGGGGCCGCCTTGTGAGTCAGTCTTGGGGGCGTCTGAGGCCCACGTGGGGCGTTCCAGAAGGGGCCTCGCCTTCGAGGGTCGAAGGAGTTGACATCTCTTCCTCGGCGGAAGGTGGCGGAAGGTTGGCGGAGGCCGGCGGAAGCGACATCAGGGCGGCTCTCCGCTGGCGGACGCTCGGCGGATGGCGGCGAATGAAAAGACTCTGCAACAAGCGTTGAGGAATGACTTCGCGTGACCCTGCTTCGCCCCCAGGTCTTCATGTTGAAGACGTCTTTTCGGAGTAGCGGGGCCAGACATATCTTGAACGCAATGCATTCCTGTCATGGCCAGGGGGTGGGGAGGCGGATTCGGCTCCTTATTTCGGCGTTGCTCCGTAGCCTTTGGCCCAAGCCGCCTCGGCCCAGGACCCGCGCCAGGGGGCCCCGCGCCCGCTCCCGCGCTGCAGCCCGCGGCACAGCGCCTCCATGGCCGAGGGGGGCGCCGAGGCCGCCGCGTCGGCGGCTGGCGCCGCGCAGGCGGCGGCCGACGCGTCGCGAGGCGCCGCGGCGGAGGAGCCGGCGCCCGAGGAGTCCCTGCGGGAGGGCAGCAGCTGGGCGCCCGAGCCTCTCAGCTCGAGGTCCGCGGAGGCGCACTCGCTCGGCGGCGCGAGGAGGCACGGCGCCGCGCCGCCGCCCGCCGCCGACCTGCCGAGGGCCAAGAGGCGGCGCGCGCAGGCGCAGCGTGGAGGCCCCGCCGACGCCAGCTCGGAGGGCGGGCCGGCGGCCGGCCTGGCGCTGGCGGACATCTCCAGGGACTCGGCGGCGGCGGCGGCGCCCGAGGACGACGTCCCGCCCGCCCCCGCCGCCGAGGAGAGCCGGGCCGCCGAGGCGGCCCGCCTGCGGGGCGAGCTGGAGCAGGCGCAGATCCGCTGCGACGTGCAGCAGGCGCGGTTCAACGCCAGCCAGCGTGCGCTGCGGAATAGCCGCAGGGCCACCGCCGATCTCCTCGTACAGCAGGCGCGTGCGGAGGCCGCGGAGGAGCGGGAGCAGCTCGCCCTCACCAAGACGCAGTTGGGCGTGTACAGGCACGTCGCAGGTGCGGCGTACAGCTGGGAGGGCGGCTACGAGGAGGCGGAGATCACGCGGGTGAAGGAGCGCATCCAGAGCGACAAGAGGGCCATCCAGAGTCTGCGCACGAGGCTCAGCAAGAAGCAGAAGCTGGCCGCGGGCGGCGGCGGCACGCCCGCCAAAGGCGAGCAGCGGGACGAGGTCGGCGGCGGGGACCCCGCGCGGGGCGACGCCGGCGGTGAGGAGGGCGACGAGGCCGACGAGTTGTGGGAGTCCCGCGAGATCAGCACCTGCCGCATGAGCTTCCTGAACAGGGAGGAGGGCATGGTGAAGGAGAGAGAGCAGCGGCTGTCGGTAGAGAGGAACCTGTTCTTCAAGAGGCAGCAGCTGCACGAGATGGCGCAGCGGTCGACCTTCGGCAATTACCGCCGGCTGCCGGGCCCTGGCTCAACGCAAGCGCCGGAACAGTATCAGCTGCTCAACATGATCGGCAAGGGCGGCTTCAGCGAGGTGTATCGGGCCTACGACCTCGAGACTGGCTGCTTCTGCGCTGTGAAGATCCACGAGCTCAGCAGGGACATGACCGACGCCCAGCGGCAGAGCTACGTCAAGAGGGCCTCCCGTGAGTACGAGATACAGAAATCTATAAAACACCCTCGCGTCGTGTCGTTTCTCAATATCATCCCTATTAGCACTCAGGCTTTTGGTACTGTGCTTGAACTCGTTGAAGGTGACACCCTCGACGAGTACATCAAGAGAAACGGTGCTTTGCCGGAGAAAGAAGCCCGCGGGATTGTAATCCAGATCTTCAGCGGG